GAAGGCCTGGCGCGATGTGGTTCATGGGGTCACGAAGAGTCGGACATGACTTAACAACTGAGCAACAACAACAAAAGTATATATAGAATTGCAACTTAACTGTTATAATGATATATTATACTTTGTTTCTTTTTTCTGTTTTTTCACTTTTTAAAGCACTTTTTATGGATTTTTTTCTTTGAGAATGTATTTGCATTATAATTATCTTTGTGTTTTGTTTCTTTTGTTTCTTTTTTCTGTTATTATTTTAAAAGCAATAAAAATAAATAAGGCTAGTTCTTTCCACATCAAAGGAAATGGCTTTGGCTAAAAGGGAAAACAAGGTTTCCTAAATTTCAAAAGAGGCATGGATGCTATGCTAAAAAGATAATATCACCTTTATTAAAAAGCTAATAATGAAGCCTAAAATTTCAGGTAACGCCCTGATACACCAGTTGCTTGTATATTACATTAGCAATTGTTGTGTCTATAGTATTGTGTTTTTTAATCTTCTGAAGATGCCCAGAGTCATTGTGGAATCCTGAGTGGCCTTGAAATTTGACAAATAAATAGTGACAAAGCCATATTAGCAGTGTTATTTATAATAACTAAATGCTTAATGTTGAACGAAAGGCCCAAAGCACTGGGCTCCAACTATTTTTTTTTTTTAGATTTTTTTTATCCCCCCTTTATTTTTTTAAATAAAGAACTCAAGGCGGCAAACATACCTCATCCTCCTTCCTCCTCCTATTTCCCCACAACAACAACCCTGTGAGGTGAGCTGGGCTGAGAGAGACGGACCGGCCCAAAGTCACCCAGCCGGTTTTCATGCCTGAAGCAGGACTAGTATTCACCCTCTCCTGCTTTCTAGTCTGGTGCTTTAACTACTAGACCAAACTGCCTCTCTGTTTCAGGAGACCATCACGGAGAAAGGAAGACTAGAAGGCAAGTTCAGTAGTTGTACTGAAAGGCAGCTTCTGCTTTCTTTGAATCGCTCCTTCTTCACTTTCTAAAAGCTATTGTTGAACTTTTAGCAGCAGTTCCTGCTCTTGCAGTTTTTCCTCTTTCATTCCCGTAACTTCTTCCTTGTGTGCTACTTTAGACCAAGGTGTGGATAGAGGGCTATTCTTATGTAAGTACTTGTGTGTGACCCTCTGGGATCCAAGAACAGAAGAAAAATGCCTTCATTGAATAAATCCTCACTTCTCTTTTGATCTACTTAGGACAGTGTTGTCCAAACTTGGCCACTTTAAGAGGAGTGGACTTCAAGTCCCAGAATTCCCCACCCAG